TAAGGTGTGTGGTAATGTTACTACATATATTCATATCCAGACCTTCCTTCTTAAACTAGTATGTGTTTCTCTCTGAAGCTTTGATTAACACCTCGCCACTTCTGGCTACAAAGAACATGTTGACCAAGAAATGAGATATTCCAATGTTCACCTAACAGAACGATATTTGTTCAGAAGGGTCTGATAATGGCTTTATAGAACCAGAACCAACACCAACATTAGCACCAACAAGAACACTACTGCCTTCACAAACACCAGCACCAGCATGGCACCGTCCCCATCAACATCAAGCTACAACACCCTCACAAGCACTGCAACCAAAAGCCGCAACAGCACCAGAAACACAATCAGCACCAGCTCCACCAACGGTTTTACCAACACAAACAACGCCAGATCCAACACACCACCACCACTACTGTACCCAACTTAAACACCGGCACCCGTACTTTCTTAAATTAACATGCCTCGTACCCTCAATCCCCAACCCGGTGTCAACACGCCTATATCCCCATAAAGCCCATTGTCCTCCAAATTGGAACAATTCCACACGACTACCTCTCTCTGGGATTAATCATCCTGGCGATTCAGCAGACACTGCCTCATGCAGATGAGATCACTGTCCATCTAACAGAAACAAATCATGTAACATGTTTTGTTATTCACCCCGAGAGTGAGAACACATTCAACACTGGGCCTAAACTCGACCCAATTTCAGTGACAGTGAGTTAGTGAGTTAATCAATATGAAAAATAACACCGGCTGTAGTTGAACCATATCGTGACTAAAACAAAACATTCAAATTAGTTACGGTTACATTACTTACAATATAAAGTTGAAGAATCACATTACTCACAGCACTATCTACGACTCACAGTGTATGAAATGCATTACCTATAGTTAAACTATCTACAAGACACTCTGGAAGACAGTGTGTGTTCGTCTGTTTGTCTGTGTGTCTGTCGCTCTGTGTTAACATAACGATTACAATTTCACTGTTGGCGAGAAATAGAAACGGTATCCTGTTCTTTTATTCTCACCCATGTTTTCTGCAGCATTTAGAGTTTTGTAAATCCATTTTCTTTCAGCACATCTTGATGTTTATGCAAGACACAATATAGGGCACCATACTGTGATAGTAATAGAGTTTATTGTGATAATTATGCAAAATAATGGATGAAAGGCTTATACGAGGTATTTAACTCCATTATAAATAACCACTGTATCGACACCGTCTGAGAGAGAAGGTTGTTGGATAGATATAATTCACAGGAAATAGTTTTGAAACATCAATTTTATCACGTTCTATTTCAGACTGCTATTTTCAAATTTTGATTGTGGTTATGACAAAGTCTTCATTGAATGCAGGGCTTGCTGATTCTGACAGAACCGGTAAAACCTTCACACTTTACACACGAAACCTTAAAAACATACTCTACATAGCCCTCTACTCGAGAGAAAACACGTCTACTACATGTTCGCAAGTAAAATGAGTCTACTGTGTATGGCGAGATTTAAATTTAATTTATTTGTATGACACATTTCATTTCACTAGATTCTATAAACACTGGGGGCGGTAGGGTAGTCTAGTAGTACGCTCGTCCGGGTTCGATTCCCTAGATGGGTACAATGTGTGAAGCCCATTTCTGGTGTCCCCGACGTTGTATTGCTGGAATATTGCTAAAAGCGGCGTAAAACCATACTCACTCACACACTCACTCACTATATACCCTAAAAAGCACGTCCAGTATGGTTAGCGACTGTTAAGGGTGGTATGATTCAATGTATTTACATTCACCATGCAGAAACCTACTTTAACAACAGCCAACAGTTCATGCATAGGCGTAACACAACTTGTCTGCTGTGGAGATGTAATCAATCAAATGATAAATATACGTTCTGCAAATACAATTGCCTCTTTTCTGTAAACATATTGAACATCTGTATGTGTCACTGTATTCGATTGTTTATTGTTTGTTATTGTGACATGCTGTATTAGGGTTTTGTGTTTTCATTTGTTTTAGTTTTTTCTGTTTTTTTATCACATTGTTCCTATTTTGTAAGTGTTTTAAGCAGTAACACCCCAGTTGTGTAGATGCATCCTCATGATGATTGGTCCTGACTCAGTTATAGCTGGAATATTGCATGGTGAGGCAGGCATACAAACAAACAATAGTCTGCATGATTGTGAATTATATTATTACTAATACGTTTGAGGTATACTTTTTTAGTACAAGAAGTTAACAAGGGGATGAGTGTGTACTTGACTATGTTGTTTTATGCTTTAATTTTGTGAGCGTGAGTGAGTTAATATTTAACCTCACACCGGCAATATTACAGCCATACCGGGACGAGAACGTGTTCTTATCTATACATGAGACCTTTAATGAATCTATACCATAAAAACCTGTCGTCAAAGGAAAATAAAAAGGAAAAGGTTTGGGTTAAAACTAGCAACTTATAAATATACAATGCAATACAACATAGAGATCGCCAGCAACTGAAGTTATCACCATACCATGGCTCATTGGGATTTGCAGTACCGTTGTTGCCTGCATGGACCCGAGCTGGATTTTCATCATCCCTTCAGGTGCTGACGATTATTTAGAAATTTAGCCGAACATTTAAATAACAAGTAATCTACTTAGTCTATTAAAAAGATGGTAGATATAGAAATACTTGAATGAAATAGGACTTATAGGTACACTCTCAGCGGTACAATAATATTTTGACAGAGAGACAGATTATGCAAGTCCAACCTGTGTTACAGCAATATTACAGGTAGAACACATACAGATGTCCACAGCCCATACTAGTATAAGATGAAACAAAAACATATCGCGTGAAAGGTAAATATATGTTTAAATTATCCTCGCATAAAATTCCCTAAATCTATAGGGCACTAGATATGCATTTACATCACAACACCAAAGTACGCGGCGGCGAGATAGCATGTGGTGCCAGGGTTTGAGCCACGATAAAAACACCTTAAATTTGACACAAACATTATTTATGTATTTTATTTCATAGACAGGATTTCTAAAACAAGTTATGTGGTGATGTGTGGTCCTGTGTCTAGAGCGCAGGTCACAAATCAGATGAAGATATACCAACGTTGGTCACGGAGAGTCCTTGGATGGGTGACCTGTTTGGCAGCTTGACTCCTGACGGTTTCTAGGACTCCTCTCCTGCCTCACAACTAAGCACACGTGGTCTCACCTTAGGCAAGAGTGTTTGTTCAAAACTGCCCCTGTTCACCCATCAGAAAATGGGTACCAGGTGAGATAAGTCATATGACTATTTACCTTCTAGCGCTTCAAAGGTAACTTGAGTATCCGGGGTGATGATATCTATCATCTTGTATGCGCTTAGAGCATTCCCTGCGTCGTGGAGTTCAGTGCTATATAAGCGGCCTGATCATTATTCAAGATTTGAGAAGATGGAACGCAGAAGGTCTGGTGAACGATACAAACGCTTGACCGAACATTCTGTGTCATTCAAACAGTGACAATAGGCCTTTCCTGAAAGCATCTTGAGTGCGTAATACTACAGACTAGTGTGCGTGTGTGGGAGAGAGTCTGAGTGTCAGTGTCTGTGAACAGTACAGTAAACAGGTTGACATACTGTTAACGAGAAACGGATATAGAAATGTTTGCCGAGATATTGGTGAGAATAGAGTTTTAAACTCGCTTAACGTGTGAGTGGTCAGACGTATTTCGTTTGCTTACTGATAATCAGATAGTATGCAGATATGCTCCAAATCTCTCATTGATTGCTTTTCCTGACAGTGAGTGAGTGAGTGAGTGAGTTTAGTTTTACACCGCACTCAGTAATATTCCAGCTATTTTGGGGGCGGTCTGTAAGAAATCGAGTCGGGACCAGACAATTCAGTAGTCAACAGCATGCTCATCGATCTTCGTAATTGGTATACGATGACGTGTCAACCAAGTCAGCAAGCCTGACCACCCCGATCCCGTTAGTCGACCATTGCGACAAGCATTGGTTACTGAAGATCAATTCTAACTCGGATCTTCACAGGTTTGTTTCTGGGAGAATAGGTCACTACTTAAACATTAAAAACATACCATACAAAGATTGCATACACGAATTTAAACGACTCTACTCGGCTGAGTGGGTTAGTGAGTGAGTGAGTGAGTGAGTTATTATTTAATGTCACATCGGCAATATTTCAGCCATATCGTGACTAAAACTAGTTCTAAATTCATAAAATATACATATACTATATACAAACCTGTCAACGAAGGACAGTAAAACAACAAGATTATCACAGATTGGGCTGAGTTGGTTAGATGGCAGAGTTTGTGTGCTGGCGGTTAGGTTCCTGACTCTGAGAACGAGGCTTCTAATCCCGGATGGGGATCAAACTAACCAAAGAACAGTACTAGAATATTTACTTTACTGAGAAAGTGTAAATCCAAATATAACGCGTCACTCAAATATTGTTCGCTTGCAGTATGGAGCGAATGGCGAGGAGTAGATTTAGTATATTATTTGTAGGGCACCTTTCAGTTCATTGGATTCTATATGCACTGGAAAAAAACAGATTATGCGGACAAGACCAATATGATGTTTTACAGATTGAAGTATGACTTGTGACCGGTAAGTGGTAACGATGCTATGATTCACCGTATTTACATTCACAATGCCGAGACAGTTAATATACACAACAGTGCATGCAGACAGACAGACAGATAATTTTATTCAGTCTCATCCCGTGACTTCGTTTAAAACATATAAATAAAACATAAATGTAGATTGATGCTCACGACGTCCACCACTAGTGTGTTCGGTCTAGACTGATGTTGCAGACTGCCGTCATTAAGCTGGAATATTGTTAAGTGAAGGCTTACACAAAACAGACGATAATTTAGACGATGAAATATAAACTGCTACTTTTTAGGCAGACTTCGTTTGCAAAATAAATATATGTCACCGTTAAAATAAACATAAACACGTATCATATTTACAATTGTAATGCGATAACTATCCCGCGTCATCGTCCGGAAGTGACGTAAGTGTCAACATTGGAGGGAGTTACCAGTCCAGGTAGGTGTGTTGTGTTTCGTCTCTCACTTTGTGTTCCTGTACACTGTTAACTGTTTGATATTGTGGGTCAAATATCGCGTACATATGTCACAAAAGTACCAGGATGCTGAACATGACAGCTATACTTTCATCTATGCAGCATATAGCCTGGAAATAAGTGTTAAATTGCCACACAAATTCCTACTTTCGCTTTAGAACTAGGTCGGGCTTCATTCACGATAGCCATGCCTCACTTTACTACTGATATGTTGTGGGAATGTGACACTCGGTTGTTGGGGATAATGTCAACGCGACTTTGATAAGCGTGCATGTTTTAATGCTTCGTCGATATTTCACTGGGTGTATTTAAATGACAAATACTGTATGAAAACAGACCATAGCCGAGACATTATATTTGTCTGACTGCCACACAACACGTTCCTATCTTTGCTTTGTATCAAACCTGTTGTGCCCCTATTATCACTGCATTCACCATTCATCTTTCAATATATCTGCTTGATAATATGATTAAATGATATTTATCCAAGGCGGCTTTTGTTATGGTGTATTACAGTATATTTATTCTGTTAGATGTAAGTCGATTTGTACTGCGGTAGCCAAAGAATGAATGTGCGTTATGATGGTTTAGTGCTAAGTAGGATGTAGTGTGGCGTGGGTAATTTTGATATTGCAATGTACTGGATTGACGTATTTGGAATCGTACAGTTATGTGCAGTAAAGGATAAGATGACAAAGATCTATATGGATCACGACGTTTCTCAAAACTGTTTCTTTAGATGCAAATATGCGGTTTATGTCTTCCAGAATGGACGACTTCCCCAAGTGTTCTGTCTGTCAGCAGCAGTTTACCCTGAACGGCCCCGACCCCTACCTGCTGCCCTGTCTACACGCTGTGTGTGAGACGTGTGTGACATCTGCAGCTGGTGGTGTGATATCATGCTCTACATGTCAGAAGGAGGTCAACCTCACAGACACAACCCTCCAGAAGGATGCAGTGAGACAGAAGAAAATATTCCATCTGACGGTCAAACATCGCCCCACAGAGCTCCTCTGTACAAATGAAGATGACGGCAACCAGGCTGTGTGTTGGTGTCTGGACTGTGAAGAGGTCTTCTGTGAAAACTGCCAGAATATGCACAGCAGCGTTAAACTTACCAGAAGCCATGTAGTCCAAAACTTCTGTGACATGGAGCCAACTGCCTCGAACATTCCAAAATTTTGCAGTATCCATAAATACGACCCCCTGTATCTGTTTGATAAAAGCTGCAAGATATTAATCTGTGCGAGATGCAGATTTGAAGACCATGCTGACCACGAAGTTGAGAAGGTTGATGTGGCTGCTGAAACTGTAACAGAACAACTGGGATACCATAAGAATGAGCTATCCACCTTACAGACTCGCCATCAGGCATACATGCAGAGCATCAGGCAAGGAACCGAAATCACTGACGAAACACACAATTCTTGAATGAAAATATTCGTCACATTTTCCAGTCTTTGAGATCACAACTTGATCAAAGAGAGAAGGAAATTCTCGTCGATCTGGAAAATCATGCGAAGGAGACAAAGGCAACACAGCATGCTCTTCTCAAGGCCTGTGAAGAAGACAAGAAGACCTGTACAAGGGTGTTAGACTACATCAATAATGTCTTCCTCTTTGCCTCAAAGTCAGACATCCTCAGCCTTGAGAGATATGTTGGGGAGATGACTCAGACCTGCCTGGACACTGACGCGCCTGAAACATATGCAGTACCCACAGCTGTCTTCAATACCAACAGTTTGTCAAAGCTGAAAGCGAATGTATCAGGATTTGGTGCCATTTTGACGATGGATATGGGGCGAAAATCGGAAATAATTGCTGGTAACTTAATCATTTCATCTCTAACATTGGTTTAATTGTTTGTGTCTATTAGTGTAGTATGCTGCGGCCTATCTTCATGAATCTATATGATAGTCAAGATATGACTGAAATACTGTCGATGTGACTTAAAATTTTATGAATCTATAATTGGAAATCCACTCATTTACGTGAAGACTTAGGATTTGTTCTTAAACATGTAACGTTTGTAACATGCACAGAAGCATAGTTCCACTGTCTATCCATGTAAATCCTTTTTGTGTTGTTTCAGACAGGGGTACTCAGACTGATGATGACTTTATGGCAGACGTGGAAATGAAACACAAAATGGTGAGTGAAGGAAGTTGTAGTACATCATACTCAGGCTCATCAAGTGCCCAAGAGGCGACTAGTGGGATCGGGCGGTCAGGCCCGCGGACTTGATTGACACAAACATGTCACCAATCCCTGTTTGCATAGATCGATGATCAGACCCGTGAAGATAGGGCTTAGAAGTGGTCTTCAGCAAACCATGCTTTCTGTAACAGCCAACTAGTGGTCACGCTCATTGAATTAGTGGACACATGTCATTGTATCACAGTTGTGTAGATCGATGCTTATGTTGCTGATCACTGGATTATCTGGTCCAGACGCGATTATTTACAGACCGTCGCCATACAACTGAAATACTGCTGAGTGTGGCGTTAAACAACATACCAACAAAATAAATCCCCACCAAGATCGATGATCAGGATGTTGATTACTGGATGTCAAGAATCCTTATTTACAGAGCGTTGCAATATTGCTGAGTTGGGCTTTAGATAAGACGCAGACAAAGTTTATCACAAAGGAGACGTTATGATGCAATGCTTCTCAACAGTCATGACTAGTATTATTCATTCCATGAAACGTTTCGGGTATTTTTGCCAACATTGTATGAACAAGATGATAAATAACATGACGGAAATATACAATATGTCATATCATATGTTGCAGGACATGGAAGAACTAAAGACGAAAATCGACTCAGACGAAAAGCACATTGAAAGCCTTACAAAGCTTACAGACAAGCTCAATTCAGAAATCGAAAGCTTGAAATCAGTATGTCCATTAATCTAATTATGGAATAGTTTTGTCTCATTTATCTGCATGTTTCATACCTTTAGATATGTCACCATCTAAAAGTATTTTAAAGCATTGCTATTCAGAAATATTTCTCTCACAATTTGACTGAATATTTATTTAAAGCGGGTCTTGCATTTGCCGCAATCCAATTAGAAAAAGACAATGGTGCAATATTCAAAAATACCCAGATCATTCAAACTGTTCATAAATAGTCACATAATGAGTCAGGGTATACACACGTCTCCTCAATGACGTCGTCAATTGGCGAATATTATGTCAGCAGGAATCCTATTCCGTAAGTCCAGGGCCCTTATTCTCCAAACGGTCGTAGACCTAAGAATTCTTAACTTTGATCGTAGTCAATGTGTTAAAAATGGACTTAAGAAGTTCGTAGGGCTAGGAACAGTTCGAGAATAACTAGCCAGGAGTGTCAGCTCAAGTTCCTGTGGGTTCACTGAAGGGTGGTACACGGAGTCTCAGCTGACGGTCATGATTCCAGAGATGTTCATGTCATGCGTTCTGTTGTCGAATGAAGGGCATCACAAGAAACCAAACACTTCATCTCTGCATCGCTGGGCATTCAGATCTCCTCGGGTGAATACCAGTCTTGTAGTTGTCTGGCCATAAATGCCATCCCATATTGTGACGCCCCCTCAATCAAACTTCTTATATGCTGTTTGGCGTATAAAATCTGAGTAAAAAATCTCGAACTCTGCCATCGTTTCTGAACCGACTGAACCGACTTTCATCTGTAAGGAGCGCCCTCTCTTAGTCACGTCGCTTCCACCGACGTACATTGGTGACGGTGTAGAAGGGTCAAGGCCACTCCACGGAAAGGGCTCGTATACCAGCCATATCAAGTCGTAGAAGGACTGTTTGTCTTCTGATGGTGTGTCCTATTGCTGTCCCTGACGTTGACGTCACCGTCACGAATTTGTTCCGAAGGTTGATCTGCCGGATATAGCGGGCTTCGGCCTGTGTAGTGCCTCTTGGTCTACCTGGCGGTATTGGATCTGGCCTGTTTGCTAGAAGCAGTCTATCAGTTTGCTGATGGTGGCCTGACTGCATTTGAAGGTTCTTACCAGTGGCGTTGTGAAGTCCCCATATTGGCAATACCGATAGTCCTGTCTCATTGCGATTGCGTTAATCTTGGCATATTCGTGGTGTTCTGTCGGGGCTACTGCATGCTTGCTCTGTCCAGCATCGGTATTTATGCCACAATCATGCAGGTGCATGTGACACAATTACGTCTTTCACGTTTTGAAAAATGCACGATTCAAACGAAGGGCCTGCTGTGTCTATCCGAATGTCTTCTGCTTCGGTTCAAAACTGTAACAGCGTTAATGTTTTGGTTTTTCATGCATACAAATACTTTAAAAGCGATAATTCTCTCCTTTGTCCGGTAGTTTAAATACTCATCCCGTTACATTTGCTAAATTGTTAATACAATATTTCACATTCATTCATTTCCCAAATCTGATTTATGACCTGTTGTGTGTATCTGAGTAAATTGTCACCACCTTGTTCAAGTCTCCGTTGTGTAATCGTTCATAACTGCATTTTTTAATGCATGCAGACATGCCTTTGTTGGAAGTAGTACCCTTGCGACACAGACAACGGCAAGATATTTCTTGATCTCATGATATGTGCATGTATGTTGTTCTTTCAGCGCATTGATGAGAAAGAAGCCTTTGAGAAGAAGGATGCCAAAACAATAGATCTCTTGCTTGGTAAATTCATGATTTCCTTCTGCTAAGGAGAAGACTGAATATCAAAGTCGAATACCCTTTGTCTAATCCACTAGTTCCCGAACATGATCTCAGTGCATCTTTATATCAAATGATTCCTTTAGCTTAAACTTATCAAGCATCGTCTCAATAATGATATAACATCAAAAGTCCCTATGTCTCATCACACGTGTGTGGTGATGTGTGTACTGGTGTTTCAGGTGTAGCCACAGAATGTGGTGTTCATCTGCTGAAGCCAGGGGCTGTAGATAGATCTTTGATGCTGAAGTGTGAGTACATTGATCATGTATTCCTATTTACATATGTTGATGTTCAAACCTGTTCTTCCAAGTAATGTTAAAAAAATACTAAAATATAAAGGTAGTTTCAAATGTTCATCTATGGGGATGGTGAAGGCTCGCTGGCTTGGTTGATGCATGTCATTCCTTCCCACTTGCATAGACCGACGCTCAAGATATCAGTCACTGGATAGTCTGGGCCAAACTCGACTATCAACAGACTGCTGTCATATGTGCTCATACCGATGCGGTGTTTAAAAACAAACTAGGGGGGAGATCATAGTAATCTGGCCTGTGGCGTTCAGACGAGTGTAGCATTAGCTGTACTTCACAATAAATCTCCGATACTGTATCCTGATTTCGTCTCACTGAGGTAATCGACAGACACGGACCCAATCGTTTTCAATGACAGGATGTGAGCGTATTAGATCCACGTTTCACAATCAATATCATAATAGAGTTTGCTTATTTTAAGATATTTATTTCATAGAATGAATGTAAAATTGACGACTTTGTAATGTATTCATAGTTTTCGGTTCTGGGAGACCTGCCAAATTTCAGTTGTCAGAGGGGTACACAATGTACGTGATCCGGGCAACCAGTTGTCAGACTTCCGTTTGTGTGAAAGTACTAGAATCTGTACTTTACTGATAAAGTGTAGTTCTGGCTACCATGTTTTACTGAAGTCTACCAGGCCAGATATTTAGGATTTACAGTGACTATGATATCAAACTGCAACGTAACATATACATTTACTTAAACAAGGGACGGTAGGGTGGCCTAGTGGTTAAAGCGTTCGCTCGCCACGCCAAAGACCCTGGTTCGATTCTCCACATGGTTCAATGTGTGAAGCCCATTTTTTGTGGTCCCCGGACGTGATACTGCGATAAAATTGCCAAAACCATACTCACTCACTCACTATGATTAACAGTCATCAGAAGATGACATATCCCCCCGGCCCCCACATCTTTGAAAGAACAAATCAGCTGACAGTTACTTAAAGTCCAGCTTGATTTTAGATTAAGTGCAAATCGTTCCATGGAAATCATGGAAAAAATAAATGACAAATATCTGTAAATGGCAAAAGGCACCACTTCAAGATCTGCCTCACATATCTGCCAAGTTTTACTGAAAGATATTAAGAAGTTTTCCAGTTGTGCTCCGGAAACGAAACCTACCCCTCCCTTTTGGGACTAAGTCCGAATCGTTTCCGTCGAAACCGGGAAAAATAAAAATGCCCAAAATCTGCAAATAGCAAAAGGCACCACTTAAGGTTCTGTTTGATATATCTACCAAGTTTTGTTGAAAAAAAATATTGAACGGTTCTTGAGTTCAACTCCGGAAACGAAGCCCACCCTCCCTTTTGGGATTAAGTCCGAATCGTTTCCATTAACAATCGGGAAAAATAAATATGCCAAATTCTGCCAAATAGCAAAAGGCACAACTTTAGGATCTGTTTGATATATCTACCAAGTTTTGTTTAAAAATATTGAACGGTTCTTGAGTTATACTCCGGAAACGAAGCCCATCCCTCACTTTTGGGACTAAGTCCGAATCGTTTCCATGAAAACCGGGGAAAAAAATAATGCCCAAAATCTGCAAATAGCAAAAGGCACCACTTAAGGTTCTGTTTGATATATCTACCAAGTTTTGTTGAAAAATATTGAACGGTTCTTGAGTTCTACTCCGGAAACTAAGACAACCCTCCCTTTTGGGATTAAGTCCGAATCGTTTCCATTAAAAATCGGGAACAATAAATGTACCAAATTCTGCCATACAGCAAAAGGCACAACTTTAGGATCTGTTTGATATATCTACCAAGTTTTGTTTAAAAATATTGAGTGGTTTTTGAGTTATGCTCCGGAAACGAAGCCCACCCCTTTTTAAGACTAAGTCCAAAACGTTTCCATGGAAACCGAGAACAAGAAAAATGACAATAATCTGTAAATAGCAAAAGGCACCACCTAAGGTTATGTTTGACATATCTACCAATTGTTGTTGAAAAATATCGAACGGTCTTTGAGTTATGCTCCGGAAATAAAATGATTACGGACGGACGGACGGACGGACGGACAGACAGACGGACCAGGCGACGACTATATCCCACCTCATTACATGCAGGTGGGATAAAAAGGTGACTACCAGGTGACGGCGAGTCGCAACAGCTATGTGTATAGCTGTGAAACACGACTGTGATGGGGTAGCCAGTGCTTGACTACTTGATAACGCTGTCACTCTCTACCTTTCATCCCTGCAACGCCTTCAATACTGTCCTCCCGCCCTCCCAGAACTGACGCCTTCTGAAGTTCAGATGGTGTACCACGGTCAGCCAAGAATAACTAAGAGCAATTCCAGATACAACTGCAACCTAAGATTGAATAAAAAAAAATGCCAACCAGGAACCTCTCTCTCTGTCTCTGTCTCTGTCTCTCTCTCTCTCTCTCTCTCTCTCTCTCTCTCTCTCTCTCTCTCTCTCTCTCTCTCTCCTCCCTCTCTCCCTCCTCTCCCTCCCTCTCTCTCTCTCTCTCTCTCTCTCTCTCTCTCTCTCTCTCTCTCTCTCTCTCTCTCTCTCTCTCTCGATCTCGAAACCGACGAAACACACGATATATCCGGAGTAGTGACTTATCAGTTAATTCAATGTGACTCAGTGATAAGGTCAAAATGCAACACACGGTAGGTTTTATTGCTGCATTCCGATTATGTTACACTGCTTGAATAAAGGTAAATTTAATGAGCTGTGAATTCCAAACATTACAATATCATTATAGCGAGAGTTATTCGTATTTGTCTCATGCATTTCACATCCATGTGTTGTAGGTATACCTTTAAAGTATGACAAAGACAGAGTCAATCTCGACTACGTCCACATCAACACAGAAGGTGACCTGGTCAACAGGAAGTCAGACATCAGACCTGCAGGAGAGGGGAGACTGAAGAAGTACTGGGGCACATGCAGCACTGCCCCCTCTTCATGGATGGGTGTCCTCGGTACTGGGAGGTAGAGAACAGGGTCAGTGTGAACAAACCACTCCCAGAGAACTGGCTCATCCTGGAGGTTGGAGTATGTAGAGAGGAGCAGAGGGACGTGAGTCATTGTACAGATGGATGTCCTTACTCCTACAGTATGACCGTCAACCGCTGTACTACACACGGCGGGATATGCAGGAGGATATGGAAGGAGGGGAAGTGTGTGCTGCATCCGCCTGACACTCTCCCCAACACAGCAGGGGTATCACACACACTACATTACGGCGTTGTCCATGATGCCGCCAGGAAGAAGATTGTCTTCATTGATGTGAAGGAGAAGAAAGTCATGTCAACGTTAGACAATGTAGACTGTAGTAAACCACTGTGGCCGATGTTCGGGGTGTATAACCCAGAGTGGATCACTGTCAGCATGAGACTTGTAGTTGGCAGCGACATCAACATGACGGAGGAGAAGAAAACAATGATTGTCAAGTCGCTGTCGTGATGCTGACAGTCATGGTGATTTGAACCCACAAGCATTCGAATTAAGGAACACTTCAAAACTTGATATCTTGAAAAAGGAAGTTTACAATGATCACGTACATAGCATTGCCATGTGTCCACACACAACTCTGTCAAAGTGTACTATCAACACAACACTAAGCCAGTAGTAGCTTACGATCTACTGCACTAATAAGGAATAGCGTCCAGCACGCATACTTATGAAATGATACATGCAGGAATATGTGTGCTTGGTGAGCATAAATTAAAACATTTAAAAAAAACACTAGAACATGTGTTCTTGTTACAATTCCATATTTCAATCAGACATTTCGCTACAATAAAGTGAGGCAAGCACATATTCAGAAGGTTATTATATTTTCGAGTTTTGCAGTTGAAAGTATGAGAAAGTACAACACACCTGTTCTAAACATACAGAATGACGAAGTGCCAAAACTGCAGCATTGTTTTGGAAGTACGAGTGAGCCCACGTGCACATAGATGTTTTTTCCCCGTCAGCCACTACTTGCTAGAAAATTCGTGAACATATTTTACGTATACTGCAGTGACTTAAGTATCGGATTGCTGGTACAGGTTTTCGATGACTTCACTATAGAAGTTGCGCGTTAAAGCCACCTCATGGTGTACCTGCTACACTTACTGAGTCGAACCCAAACGGGACGCGAGATGCGTTTAATCACTGCGCTACCCAACCGCCCGTTTGCAGCCAAAAGTAACGGACAGCTTCCTTGAAATGTTTTACAACAGTTTGTCTTATGAAACATATAGGAAGCCGCTGTACAAGATCTATTTGTTTATATCTCAAGAGTATTGTGTTGTGGGGTGATAACCTGCTAATTACACAGTGGAAGCCCTCTTTAACTGAGGCCGTGCCGGTGTAGAGAACTTTTCCCTTCCATCCGCTTCACTGCTCAGGCCATCTTGACACGGTGAGCGACTGACAAATTGTGACACGACAATTAATTTATAATACAAGTGACACGTGTCACTCACCAATTTACCTCACCTACCTAGGCGTAATCCTTATCAATACTTCATTTATAAGGCAACGCCAATGAGCTTAATGCCGATGGTAATCCATTGTGTTGTTAATACACGTTCAGGCAATCAACAGGAGAGCCGAGATACCGGATGTCGGTTTAGAGTACAATTGGGCGGTCTTTCTTGTGCCGACATACGGAATAGACTGACGCCAGATTAGTAAATGATCATAAATTAACTAGTTTCTGCCGGGAAGATATACTAGTGCCGATATTGAGAACATACCGGAATGGAGGGCTGCCGGTTTTGAAGGCTTCCACTGTATTATATTTGTAACGTTGACAGTTTCTTTATATTCCTCAAAGCAATAAGTTGGACTCCTTTGGAAATGAAGGTAGCAATAACTCAGAAGCTGTGTGGGATCTGTTGACTAAGTGTTAAACCTATACGTATTATGCAACAACTGGACTTTTATCTGTGTGGTAATATTGCTTATATATATTCATTTCCAGACAGTTTTTCATCAACTATTTTGTGTATCTCTGAGGCTTTCAATAAAATCAAACCACTTTTGATCGGGTGGCATTTGCTTTCGGGATATTTCTAATATAAGAACTTCTGGCTACAAAGAACATAGGGATAACCTAACAGAACGATAAAAGTTCAGAAGGGTGCAAGTTCTGATAATGGCGTCACATTCAGAACCAACATCAGCCCAAGCTCCAACAACATCACCACTGTCCACACCAACACCATCACCAGCAAGGCAACATCTCCTAAACTAAACTAACAACTAAACCTTCAACACTCTAACCAGCATGGCAACCAAAAGCGGCAACAGCACCAAAAACTGAATCAGCACCAGAGCCACCAACATATTTACCAACACTAACAACGGCAGTTCCAATTACAACACCAACCCCATCACCACTACCAACATGAACACCAACACCTGTACTTTGGTATATTAACATGCTTCATCTCCTCAATCCCCAACCCGGCGTCATGATTGGCCAAATCATGAAATATGTTTGTGTTATTCATCCGAGGACGAGAACAACTGTAACTCTTGGCCAAAACCCGATACTATTACAGTATTTGAGCCATATTGTTACTGAAACAACAACATTAATCATATATTTTGAACTGTTAATGATCGAATCTGTATCAGATAATCCAGTGATCAACAACATGAGCACCGATCTACGCAATTAAACTACGATCACATGTGTCAACCAAATCAGAGAACCTGACCACCCGATCCTGTTAGGCGCCTTTTGCAGTATGGGTTACTGAAGATTAATTGTAACCAGGATCTTCACGTGTTACGAATGAATGAATGAATGAATGAATGAATGAATGAATGAATGAATGAATGAATGAATGAATGAATGAATGAATGAATTAATGAATCCTATCAAAGTTACCGTTTTCACATATGCTAAGTATGAAGATCTATGTACAACGATTTACTCACACAATAAGCTGAATGGTCTTTCCAAATCTATAGTCGATGCGACATAGTTTTACCTCTTCGTAATTCGTGAAGCAAGCATGCTTTTTGTTATGACTCTGAATGGGGCCGGACCGACAAAAATGTTTGATTTATTCTTGCTCTTTTGCATTGTTTTTTTTTAAGTTATCGCAGGCATATTCCAGCTATATGACAGGGCAGTAATTAATCGAGTAAATGTACCGTCTGGACAAGACAATCCCATGATCAACATCATGAGCATCAATCTACGCAAATGGGAAGACCAATTCCAACCCGGATCATCGTTGGTTGCATTTCTTTTTGTGGCCTGTTCAAATTCCATTCCTACTTATCGATTTGAACACAACAATCACCATTTTAATCTACAGCTTTAAGTGTTTGTATTGGCATACTGTGAACGAAAAGCCTCGTCGATTATTTCAGTCATATTATTCCCATCACTAATTGGAAGTTTATGCCAAACGGAATCTTTGTATATAAACAAGTCTTGTTATTATCTGTCTTTCACACTTAGTATTGTAATGTAAGCATCGTGACTGGCGTTGACGGTTGGCGATATAATGTCAGTATTGTGACTGGTGTTGACGTTTTGTGTTATAATGTCAGTATTGTGACTGGCGTTGACGGTTGGTATTGTAAGGTAAGCAATGTGACTGGCGTTGACGTTTGGTGTTAAATGTCAGTATTGTAAGTGGCGTTGACGGTTGACGTTATAATGTCAGTATTGTGACTGGTGTTGACGTTTAGTGTTATAATCTCAGTATTGTAACTGGCGTTGATGATTGGTATTATAATGTCAGCATTGTGACTGGCGTTGACGGTTGGTATTATAATGTCAGTATTGTAACTGGCGTTGACGGTTGGTATTATAATGTCAGTATTGTAACTGGCGCTGACGGTTGGTATTATAATGTCAGCATTGTAACTGGCGTTGACGGTTGGTATTATAATGTCAGTATTGTGACTGGCATTGGCGGTTGGTATTATAATGTCAGTATTGTAACTGGCGTGTCGGTTGGTAGTATAATGTCAGTTTTGTAACTGGCCTTGTCGGTTGGTATTATAATGTCAGTATTGTGACTGGCGTTGACGGTTGGTATTATAATGTCAGTATTGTGACTGGCGTTGACGTTTGGTATTATAATGTCAGTATTGTGACTGACGTTGACGGTTGGTATTATAATGTCAGTATTGTAACTGGCGTTGTCGGTTGTTATTATAATGTCAGTATTGTAACTGGCGTTGACGGTTGGTATTATAATGTCAGTATTGTAACTGGCGTGTCGGTTGTTATTATAATGTCAGTATTGTAACTGGCGTTGACGGTTGGTATTATAATGTCAGTATTGTAACTGGCGTTGACGGTTGGCATTATAATGTCAGTATTGTAACTGGCGTTGACGGTTGGTATTATAATGTCAGTATTGTAACTGGCGTTGACGGTTGGTATTATAATGTCAGCATTGTGACTGGCATTGACGGTTGGTATTATAATGTCAGTATTGTAACTGGCGTTGACGGTTGGCATTATAATGTCAGTATGGTTACAGGCGTTGACGGTTGGTGTTATAATGTCAGTGTTGTAACTGACGTTGACGGTTGGTGCTTTAATGTCAGTATTGTTACAGGCGTTGACGGTTGGTATTATAATGTCAGTATTGTAACTGACGTTGACGGTTGGTGCTATAATGTCAGTATTGTTTTAAAGGTGTTGACAATTGGTATTATAATGTCAGTATTGTAACTGACGTTGACGGTTGGTGCTATAATGTCAGTATTGTGACTGGCGTTGACGGTTGGTGTTATAATGTCAGCATTGTTACAGGCGTTGACGGTTGGTGTTATAATGTCAGTATTGTAACTGACGTTGATGGTTGGTATTATAATGTCAGTATTGTTACAGGCATTGACGGTTGGTGTTATAATGTCAGTGTTGTAACTGACGTTTACGGTTGGTGCTATAATGTCAGTATGGTTACAGGCGTTGACGATTGCTATTAGAATGTCAGTATTGTAACTGACGTTGACGGTTGGTGCTATAATGTCAGTATTGTGACTGGCGTTGACGTTCAGTGTAATAATGTCAGTATTGCAACTGCCGTTGACAGTTGGTTTTATAAAGTCATTATTCTAACTGATGTTGATGGTTGGTGTAGTGTTCTATGGGCCCTTCACTGCATGACTTGCTGTTCCCAGGAGGAGACACGACACAACTAAGTGTTTACGATTAGCCTTTTACTTCCCGAGTGCCAGAGCATCCGGTACGCCAAACATGCGCACTGCATCACATTAAAGCATATGATGTATAATATTACTACGCTACAGTTGGTGCTATAATATCAGTTATTTGTGGACCAAACATATCTTTGGTCAGTCTCTATACACAACTCTTTGCACTAATTCTGGAACAAATCAATGAACATTTATAAAATGTCGAACGAAAAGCGTTAATTTTGTATTTCGATAGATGTTTAGAGAATAACAAACGAGGTACGAGTGATTATGGTAAATATGCCCGAGTTGAAATAATGTTCACAGTGCCGAGCATTGGCGGATCAATGGGAGGAATACGCCTCTTTGGAGCACATGGTCGACTAACAGAGGAGTCATTCGAGATGTTGAAGTGGAATACACCACCATAATTTGGACCTGAGAAAAGTGTATGTACAGAATGAAGATTTACGGCATACAAAAAAGACTGAGGCAGAGGATGAGTGGGCGGAGTGGAGTTACAAGGGTTTGATAACAATTTATTGCTGGACTGATGTTGCTTATACATTTTTGAAGGGTATCTGTTTTTGTTTGAACATTTTTGTGCCCGGAAATTTGCATGATTTGATGTGCTGGTATGAAACGTTTTCGTCCTAATAACGGCCATGTTTGTTTAGAAACCATGCAAACGAGTGTTTTGTTTTTTGTAAGGTTATATATTTTAAAAGACTACTATTTATAACGCAATTTTATTGCAAATTAATGTCCAATAAAAGATTATTCATATTCTTTAACCTTTCTGTTTTCTTTTTTTTAAATCTCGGAATGTGTGAGTACAGCACGTTCTAATTATCAATGAATCGGTAAAAGTTGTCAAAGGGTAAAAGTTGTCAACTAATCATATTTCTTCTCTGCTTAGCTGACCAATCAACGTTGAGAATCACTGAAAAGTACATGTGCTTTTTTCACAAAAATAATCACCTGTGCATCTCAGCCCGTATGGGTAATAAATGTTGTTAGCATACAGAGTTATGGGTTAGAGAAAGAGCACATCTCGTCTCGTCTAAAAGACGGATAGAGAGCAGTCTCTTTGTGAGTGTCCAAAATGGCTTCCCTTGTCCCTGTAGCGCTAGTTTCAGCTTACATATCCTTAACGTATTACTTTTGAATTAAAACGGTGTTTACATGTTGGTAAGACAGATCATAGATGGTACGTAAGAGGTTATTACCTGACTGTTTTCCTTCACATCGGCCCGAGACTACTATATCAGCAAGAGGGCCGAAGTCCCCGAGGGCTGAAATGGTAGTCGAGGGAGGATATGACTGGCACCAGTGAAGGTCAGGGTTAGAATGCGCCTTCAGTACCCCATGCTTGTCGTAAGAGGCGACTAACGGGATCGGGTGGTCAGGCTCGCTGACTTGGTTGGCATATGCCATCATATCCCAACTGTATAGATCGATGCTCACGTCGTTGATCACTGGATTGTTTGGTTCAGACTCGATCAATTACAAACCGCCGCCAAAGAGCAGGAACATTGCTGAGTCGGCTTGAAACTAAACTCACTCACTCACCTTTGCTACAGCTATATTACAGGTGGAGCACATACAGACGACGTCCAGAGCCCGAGGATATTATGTACATTACGAAACAAATAATGTCTTCACGTGAACGTTACAGATATGTATGAAATATCCTCTCGTAAAATACTATATAGGGCACTAGCTATGCATTTTCATCACAACGTCAAAATGCTCGGCGGCGAGATACCATGTGAAGAGAGGGTTTGGGCCAAGATGAAACATCTTAAATATGACGTAAACATTATTTTGTACTATATTCCATAGACAGGATTTCTGAACAAATTAGGTGAAGTTAAGCAACGTTTGTCACAGAGGGTCCTCGGATGGGTGACCGCGTTTGGCAGCTTGACTCCTGAGATTTTATAGGACTGTACTCTCCTGCCCCGCAACGAATCACCCGAGGTTTCACCTTAGGCAAGTTTTTTTGTGAGTCATGTGAGTTATCCGGGGTAATAATCTCCATCATGTTGTATGAGCTTCGAGCATGTCCCTAAAGCGTGGGGTTCAGCTACATAACTGGCCTTATTATCATTATAAATATTCAATATTATAGAAAGGCTGAGTGGAGAAAGGCTGTTGAGCGATAACAAAGCTAGACTGAACACCCTTGTCTGTGTCATTCAGGTAGGACAATAGGCCTTTGCTGAGAGCAGCTGGAACGTGTGATGATACAGACAAGAGGGCGTGTGTGGGAGAGAGTCAGAGTGACAGTGTCCGTGAACAGTACAATATATAGTTTGACAGGAATATAAATGTTTGCCTCATACTGGCTAGAATGGAGTTTTCAAGCTCCCTTTTGACGTGTGAGTGGTCAGACGTATTTCGGTTCCTTACAGCTAATCGGATAATAGGCAGATATGCTCCAAATCTTCTGGAAGAACAGGTGCAACGTTACTACTTAAAGACAGACAGACAATAGTTTATTAATGTCTCACTTCTGTACGGACATGGAAACAGCAACAGTATATATACATACATATAATACTCGTACAAAACCATTCTAAAGAATTATGAGAGACAAATTGTCATAAAATAATACCCAAAAGCAAAATACCATACTAAATATATGTATTATCCATATTAAAGATGCTTTCTACGATTTAGTATTAATAAGCAGCTTTTGGCAAATAAGACAGAGACATTAGCGTCGGTGAACATAAAACAAAACTTCTAGATATCATACATATTTTTAAAAAAACAAAAACATCTTGATTTAACAAATGCACTCATTAAAAAGACTTTCCCTGATATTGTCATATGATACGCAGTGAAACGTGAACCTCATCTTCTACGCAGCCTTTACAATAAAAAGAGTTTCTATTTTGTACAAGGATGCCTTCATATCGACCCGTTCCAATGTTAATTGGGGCCACACCTAAGCTTGGCAAGATCCGACCTGTAACCTCTTGGCAGGTTCCTTGAAAAATAATCTTCTGTCCTGTAATCTTGTTTAAAACACTTATATACTCTTAGTTTGTTAAGACCACTTTGCACCTCTACCTTATCTAACTTAGATTTCCGATTTATAACAAAAGTCATTCATACATACATGTACATTGTCACATACCAACGAGTTATTGAGCATTTTAATGTGGAACATTTAACAGATAACCTAAACCAATATCATGAAACTTCTTTCCATTCCAACTTTTACATCCTTTCAGCCTCATATAAACGTCCTACCTATTTACACGACTTACACGACATATTTTTAAGTCGACAACATTGTCTTGATACAATTTTTCCATTGTCTGACAATAGACGACATCCAACCCATATCCCCATTGACTGAAACATTGCTTTCTGTTTCTGAAAGAACAGGTATAGCTTTACTACATAAACGTTAAAACGCACCCTACAAAGAGTGCGTTCACGAAATTAAACGACTCTACTAATAGCCGCGACGGCTGAGTGGGTTAGATGGGTGATTTTTGTATGCTGGCGATTAGGCGAATGACTGAGAATGTGGGTTCGAATCCCGCATCGGACTCAACCCCACAAAAGTACTAGACTTTGTACTTAACTGAGAAAGTGTAATCCCAAATATAACGTGTGTTACATTTTACCACTTTCTAAATGGCATTGTGTAGCTATATTTATTGCAGACATGCACTAAAAATCAGAAGATAATTTGGATGAAATATAATCTTATACGTTTGAAGCAAACTTCGTCTGTAAAGGAAATAGATGTTACTGTTGAAATAAACTCGAATCAGATCAAACAATTATAATGAAATAGGGTTCGCTCGTCATCATCCGGAAGTGACGTACGTGTCCACAGTGGAGGGAGTTAACAGTCCAGGTAGGTGTGTTGTGTTTTGTCACTAACTTTGCCTTCCATTTCACTGTTAACTGTTCGATATTAAGGGTCAAATATTGCGTGTATATGTCCCAAACTACCAGGATGCTAACCATGGCAGCCATATTTTCATTTATGCAGTATATAGCTGTTAAATTGCCACACAAATTCCTACTTTCGCTTTAAAGCTTCATTCACGATAGTCATGACTCACCATTGTTATCTCGTGGGTATGTTGGGCGGTGGGGTAGCCTAGTGGTTAAAAGATCACCACAGATATGCCACGACTATCAGCAGCTGAACGTGAGAGGGCCAAGTCCGACGTCTGACGTTTTCAGCTAGAAACAGGCTGCGTGCCTGTATTGATGCAGGGGGTGGACATACAGGATACTAAAGTGATGGTAGTGAACATTTATTGTGTGTAACTCAGTACCTGCTTATTATCTGTGTTTCAAAACTGGTTTTCAGGACGCCCAGTGAACTTGCACATGTCGGACGCCACGTGTTTAGGTAGTATGAGTGTGATGTTTAGCTCAGCCTGAGTAAAGATGTTGTTAACATCACTCTATTATGTCACCAAACTTAGCACATAGTTTGACCTAGTAAGAAACTGATGCAGACTTCTGAAGTTTAGATAGTATACCATGGTCAACCAAGTATAACTAAGGGCAGTTCTAGACACAACTGCAATCTTAGATACAATCACAAATTGCAACCAGGAGCCGGTGTGTGTGTGTACTGGAGAACTGCAAGAACACATCAATGTGATGTGGTAACATGAGTTTCGTTCCTGATGCCTTTAGAGAGATTTTAAAAACACATAATTCTTCGAGCTTCCATGGCAACACGTCTCCGATATTATACAATTATAAACTCTTGTAGAGGTCGATATCGGTTTTTATTGACCTGAGTAAAATAATATCGACCGAGCTTGCGATATAATTGTTTTATTATATAATGAAAGAGAAACGGGTTTTAACATAAACTTTTAATGGACACACTGTGCCATCTATCCGAGTGATCTGATTGGCTGAAAAGCGGGGGAAGCCCCTTCGTACGGGATTCCTTGTCTATTTTTAGTAACCCAAGTCAATATCGTAATTTATCAGAAAACTCAAGTCAATATCGTGTTTTGTAGTCAATCATGTGACGGTCTTTTGACGAATCGTGGTACAGGAAAAATACTACCTATATCATAAAAGTTTATATTCGAAAAACATAACTGCTATTGTGGGGGATATTCATGATGGTGTTCTATTTAACACATGTATAATGACGAGAAAGATAAAAAAGCGATGTAAAATAATGATTTGGGTTGCATCATTGAGAAAATTATTTTTATCAACAATCAAAACAATTCCCTGGTGGATATCTTAATGATAAATGGAATGTTGTCTATATTCATTGGGACGTTTTATACATGATTGATTAAAACAATACAACAAATTACAATGTCGCCATTCTGCCGCTGCTTACCAGCCGCAGCCTAGGGGTTCGGTGTGCATGGACAAATAAATCACATGTTGACTCAAATCACAGGTGATCTTATCATTGTTTGATATGCAATCTACACGTTCCTCGTTATACCGCGGTCGTTTGCGTTTCTTATTAATGTACTGTGTCTGGGTCTACAAATCCTCTCTCCGGGTGTTTATTGTACGCAGCAATTTAGAATCTGTACTGTAAATATGCCATATATGTTGTATGAATAGTTTTGTTGACGTCCTGTGTCTATCATTCTCGTTCATTTGGTAACCGAAACACACGCTATATCCGGGGTAATGGCTTATCAGATAATTCAATGTGACTCAGTGCTAAGATCAAAATGTAACACTCGGTAGGTTTTATTGATTGGCCGATGTTCGGGGTGGATCACTGTCAGTATGAGACTTGTAGTGGGCAGCAACATCAACATGACGGAGGAGAAGAAAGCGATGATTGTCAAGGCGCTGTCGTGATGGTGACAGTGATGGTGATTTGAACTCACAGACACTCGAATTAAATTCTACCAAGGAACACTTCATAACTTGATAATATCTTCTCTATGAAAAAAAAGACGTTTCCAATGATCACGTACATTGCAGCGCCATGTATTTACATACACCTCTGTCAAAGTGTACTATACTCCTCACACAAAATAAAGCAACAAGTAGTTTCAGTGTAATATCTTTATCAATCTCGATAGCGATTTTTGCCGGTATGTTACTGGAAGGTAAATATTCAAAGAATACATAACCTTTAGTGACTGTCAAATTAATTTATCTGATAACATTGATAACATCACCTAAACACAACCACCCTCAGAAACAACATGAAAAATGTGTGGCATGATTGTGCTCCACATTTCACACATGCAGTCTGGTCGGTTAAAACCTACCTGAAAATCATTCCTCTGGAACAACAAGCAGGTCCTAACTTCATTTTTATGGATAATAATGCCTGTCCATGGATGATAATGCCCCATAAATTGGTGTTGCTTTATGTTTGTGAGGAGTATATTTACACAACACAAAGCCAGTAGTAGCTTGCAATGTACTGCCCTAATGAGGAAGAACATCCAGCACATATAATTATGAAATAATACGACATGCAGGAATATGTGTGCGTGTTGAGCATAGTTAAAACAATTAAAAAAATACTAGAAAATGTTTTCTTGTTAATTCCGTATATCTATCAGAAATTTCGCGTAAATAAAGTGATGCAAGCACGTATTGCAATGTTCATTGTATTTTCGAGTCTTGCAGTTGAACAGGACTATACTCCTATTCTAAACATACAGTGAGTGAGTGAGTTTAGTATTACACGGCACTCAACAGTATTCCAGCCATATGGCGGCGGTCTGTAAATAATCGAGACTGGACCAGACAATCCAGTATTTAACATCATGAGCATCGATCTGCAATTTGGAACCGATGACATGTGTCAACCAAGTCAGCGAGCCTGACCACCCGAGCCCGTTAGTCGCCTCTTACCGCAAGCATGGGTTACTGAAGATCAATATTCTAACCCGGACATTCAAGGGTATCTAAACATACAGAGTGACGAAGTGCAAAAACTGCACAGTAGTTTTACAAATACGAGTAAACCCACATGCACGTGGGTTTTTTTTCCCCGTCAGCCATTTCTTGCAAGAAAATTCGTGAACATATTTTACGTATACTTCAGTGACTATTTAAGTTTCAGATCGTTGGTTCAGACTGTGGTAATATTTCGCCAACTGCACAATGGAAGATGCGAGATACAGCCATCACATAGTATACCCACTGCATTTATAGAGTCGATCCCAAGCGTGGAGAGAGATGCTACCCAACCACCTGTTTTCAGCCAAAAATAACGGATAGCTTCGTAGAAATGTTGTACAAAAGTTTTTCTTATGAAACATATAGGATGTCGCTGTACAAAAAGGTATTTCTTTATATCGCAAGAGTATTCCGTTCTGGGGTGATAACCTGTTAATTATATTATATTTGTAATGTTGGCAGTTTCTTTATTAACTTAAAAGCATTAAGCTTGACTGCTGTGGAAATGAAGGTAACAATAATTCAGCTGTGTGAGATCTATTAGCTAAGTGTTAAACCTTTTACATATTATGCAAACCTGGACTTTGAGGTGTGTGGCAATGTAACTTACATATATTCATATCCAGACCTTCCTTCTTAAACTAGTATGTGTTTCTCTGAAGCTTTGATTAACACCAAGCCACTTCTGGCTACAAAGAACATATTGTCCAAGAATGAGAGATGTCAAGGCTGGCCTGACAATACGATACAAGTTCTGATATTGGCGACAGAGACCAGAACCAACACCAGCACTAGCTCCAACAACATCACTACTGCCCTACAAACTCCCGCACCAGCATGGCGACATCTCCATCAACGTCAACTACACCAACAACACCCTCGCCAGCGCTGCAACTAAAAAGCCGCAACAACACCAAAAGCAGAATCAGCACCAGCTCCATCAACAGCTTTACCAACAGCTCCGAGCAACTCCAGATCAACAACACCACCACCACTACAGCAATCAATATAAACACCAATACTCGTATTTTCATAAATTAACGTACCCTCAATCCCAAACCCGGCGTCGCCACGTCTTTGTCCCCATAAAGCCCGTTGTCCTCCAAATGGAACAATGCCCACGACTACGTCTCTCTGGGATTAATAATCCGGGCGATTCAGCAGACACTGCTTCATGCAGTTCAGATCACTGTCATCTGTCAGAAACAAATCATGGAATATGTTTTGTTATTCACCCCGAGTGAGAACAAATCTAACTCTGGGTCTAAACTCGATACCACTACAGTGATCGAATTAATATGAAAAATCACACCTGCAGTATTTGAGCTATGTCGTAACTAAAACCACTACATTCAAATTAGTTACGGTTACATTACATACAATATAAATTTGAAGAATCATTACTCACAGAACTATCTACAACACACAGTGTAAGAAATGCGTACCTATAGTTAAACTATCTACAAGACACTGGGGAAGACAGTGTGTGTTCGTCTGTTTGTCTGTGTGTCTGTCGCTGTGTGTTAACATTACGATTACAATTTCACTATTGGCGAGAAATAGAAACGGTCTCCTGTTCTTTATTCTCATCCATGTTTTCTCACTCACTATATACCCTAAAAACACGTCCAGCCAACAGTACATGCATAGGCGTCACACAGCTTGTCTGCTGTGGAGATGGAATCAATCAAATGGTAAATATACGTTCTGCAAACTACAATTGCCATTTTCTGTGAACATATTGAACATCTGTATGTGTCACTGTATTCGATTGTTTATTGTTTGGTATTGTGCCTGTTGTAAACATGCTGTATTAGGTTTTTCGGTTTTATTTGTTTGTTTTTTCTGTTTTTTATCACATTGTTCCTATTTTGTAAGTGTTTTAAGCAGTAACACCCCAGTTGCGTAGATGCATCCTCATGATGATTGGTCCTAACTCAGTTATTACTGGAATATTGCGTGGTGAGGCGGGCATACAAACAAACAATAGTCTGCATGATGGTGAATTATATTATTACTAATACGTTTGAGGAATACTTCGTTAGTAAAAGCAGTTAACAAAGGGGA